ATACCCATATTATGTTCTAAACCACATCAAGGATTATTTCTGAAATGGTATGGAGCTCAAATGCTTCTTTTCTTGCGGGGTTTACCACAAGGTGAGTTCCTTTTTTTATTTCCTGCTTCTTTACACATACTCTCTCTCCAGTAGAGGTTAGCTCTGAGTGTTAGCGATGCTAATGTAAACAAAGACCATATGACGTCCAAAACAGTCGGGCATTGTTTCTGATAGCAACGTTTCTGATAGGGCCGTGGGCGTAGGGCCGTGGGTCCACATTTCAGATATTACATCATATCGGACGCAAATCTGGATCAGCTCCGTTGTTCCCCCGTTTTTAGAGATTTGGGTACGGAGGAAAAGAGAGAGGGTTTTATTTTCTGACACTTTGTGAGTCTACTGACACACCGGGGACACATTTATGTATAAAAGACATCAAAAGGGTGAACTTTAACAGTGGTCTCTTACGTGTGATGGTGACGTCGGCGCTGGTCTTGGTGTCTCCGTACGAGCAGCTGTAGAGGCCGCTGTCCTGCAGCTGGGAGTTTTTGATGGTCAGCTCCATGCTGCTGTTTCTGTTTTTGATCTGGTATTTGAAATCGTTCTTCAGAAGCTCCTGATCTTTCCTCCACTCCACAGTGAGGCCGGGTTTAGAAAGCTCACAGCTCAGAGTCACGCTGTTCTCCTCCTCCACCTGCTGGGCCCTCAGCTTCGTCTTGAAGGTGATGGGAGGGGCTGACGGAGGAGGAAAAGAGAAATGGTTACTATTTAAAAAATGTGTTATTCATTAGTTTGACAAAACTGATTTGACTCGCAGGTCTCTTCAGTGACAAGATTTTAAATAAAATATTTAATTTACCTTTTTTATAAGTTATTTTAATCCTATGTAAAACAACAGGGAAGGGCAACAGAATAGTGTTTAACATGCAAGGATGGATTAGTGAAAGAGGACAAAGAAATACACATATTGTAAGAAAGACCACAGACTTAAGAACCACTGAATGACAAAAAATGCCTCAAAACAAATGTAAAACAACCTCAAGGGACAAAGAACCAACACAAAATGAATGACAATTTACCAAAGAACAAAAACAACTAAAAGGTGACTAAAATGACAAAGATATGCATTCCTACGTCGACAAAAAACAACATTATAGAAAGTCTAAAATCGAAGCAAAATCGACTAAACTAAACATTCACAAAATGACTGTACATTAGTTTAATCCCATTTATATCAAATAGGGAATGATATCTATGAAACGTTTGGATGTCATCACTTTACCTCTGACGGTGAGCTCAGCGGTGGATTGGCTGTCTTTGGTCTTGCAGGTGTATTTCCCAGCATCGCTCTCCTCCATGTTGTTGATGATTAGTTTAGTGAGACGTCCCTCCTGCTTCATCTCGTATTTATGTCCAGGTTTCAGGACGACTCTTCCCTTCCTCCAGTCCACCGGAGCTCCAGGTTTGGAGATCTGGCAGCAGAACGCCCCGCTGTCCCCCTCCTTCACCTCCACATCCTCCAGCTCCACTTTGAAGGTGACAGGGATTTCTGATGGAGCAAAAAGAAAGAAATTAAAGCAAATCTGGAAATAACTCTGCAGCAGAGCACAGGAGGAATATCAGAAGTGGATATATGTGATTGTGAATACATCTAAAAAGTACTGAAAGTGTGGTACAACATACCTCTGACTTTGATGTCGGCGGAGGTCACAGCGGTGCCCACAGAGCAGCTGTACTCCCCCAGATCTGTGAGTTTTAGGTTTCTGATCTGCATCTCAGCGATCCGGCCTTCCTGCTTCATCAGATACTTCTCCCCCTCCTTCAGCAGCTGAGCGTCTCTCCTCCACTCCACAGGGACGCCGGCTTTAGAAAGCTCGCAGCGCAGCGTCACAGCGCCCTCCTCCACCGCCTCCTGGTTCTTCAACTTCTGCTTGAACGTCACCGGGATGGCTGTGGAGGGAACGGAGAATACTGTTAAACATGCATGGATGGATTACTTGGGGTCTAAAGGAGTCATGGGGTCTGACTTACACAATGTCAGTAAGGTAAACACAAAATGTGTTGTAAACAACTACAAGGAGAAACCAATAACCACAAACATTCTGAAATTGACTTAAAATATGCGTACATTTAAAAAATAAAAAATACATTAATAACAACGACAATCAATAGATTCAAAGCCTGAACAAAATACAAACATAAAGTGCAATATCACTTAAACCACATGTGTCAAACTCGAGGCCCGGGGGCCAAATCAGGCCCTTGGTGGATTTAATTTCGGCCCTCAGCATAATTTCTAATTCCTATTAGATCTGGCCCGCCGGTATATTGCACACACACCTTCACTCCATCCTGAGGGTCTCCTCAGCTCAGAGCCTGAGCCCAAACATTGATGACCTTGCACCCAAGATGAGATGCCAAGTATCTGAACTAGCATCACAGAGCAGCACACTGAGCTTAATGGATGTTTCCTTCTGCACTTTCTCTCTCACGACAACAGGGCATGTTTGGTTTTCTCTTTGAGGGAAATAGTTTTGTTGAAGCTGTTGTTGGCCTGTGGGAAAATGTACTCATAAGAAATGACTCTGGAAAAGCTGCAGATAGAGCCATAAGAAATGAATGCAACTGATTATTTAATGTTTAATGTTGTTTTTATAGGCAATCATTGAAGCTTTGTTAGTTCCAGGTTTAATATGTGCAATAAGTTCATTTCAATAAGTTCTGCAATAAACATTGAACCAGTCCGGCCCTCCACTAGTACCCATTTTTTAATTTTGGCCCACTGTGTATTTGAGTTTGACCCCCCTGACTTAAAGGTGGGGTAGGTCAGTTTGAGAAACCGGCTCGAGATACACTTGTTGTTATATT